TGGTGAGAGGAGAGGTTATGATCAGTATGCTTTTGCTGCATGGGTTTTGCTACCTGATAATGTGGACGTTTTTGGACAGGCTGATTTGAACATCCAGAAATGAATACTAGTTTTCTTTAGGTTTCTTTCGAGTAACCTTTATGTACTTTAACTGCTTGTTTAGCAATTCACAGCATTTGTCCATCTCTTGTGCTCAGCAGATGTCAAAGAAGTTGTCGATGTAGTTACAGCAGAATAATGCTCGCAGATTCCAGTGCGGATTTTGATTTATGATTTAGACATAAGTGCATTGCAAGACTTTGTGCCAGTCACTGTCCCATTGCCGATCCTCTCATTTGTGTGTGTTATTTTTCGAACCACTGCAGTTAGTGCTTAGAGATGCGCTTCGTCACACACAAGGTCGAAGTTTAGATGTCGAGCTCTCAATTATAGCTGCTTTTGAGATGATTCACTGCACATTCGGCCTCTACAATGATTCGCGGTGGCCTACCGTTGTGCCTTGTCAGAAGCTGCTAAGTTCGCAGACAAGTCGTGTCAATGCGCTGGCCCTGAAGAAATGGAAGACTTGGGAGCCTTGGGACCGAACTATCGACCATCGAATGAGCGATCATGTATGGTGAAAGCACCTCTAACCACTACGCCACATGCGCTCTTTTTTATATACTCAAGTTTGAGAGCTAAGATGAGCTGATGATATGTCGCCAGATTGATCTCAATCCTTTCTCTGTTAGAGAGGATTGAGAGGAATGACGTAGAGCACAGGGGTAAGGCACATTTAGGGTGATCAGTATTCCACTTCCGCGACATCACCCCCTCCCCCCACTAAATCATAGTCGTTGAATGTTAATATAAACGTTTAAGTTGAACGGCAATGTTGTTAAGATATGTTCAAGAACATACCCTCCTTCAAGAAATCCTCTCCTTTCATTCTGAAAATTTCATTGAATATCCACACTCGAGTGGTTTATATTCAATAAAAATCACCCTAATTTTCGCGGCAGCTTGTCAAATACAGGTATTTAAAGGAAACCCAAATCGGTGTTGAATTTCTTCAGACAAAATCGATTTTTGAGGAACAATCAAAAGAGCAACGAACACTGGCAAAACTTTCGATTATGATTTTTCCTATGCTTCTTTTTAGTGGTGACGATTTCCAAAAGTTGGCCGAAATGAAAACGACCCTGTATCCAGATTTGAATTTCATGTCTTTCACAAGATTGTTTTCTCCATGGGAACTCCTCTTTATAATTGACAAATGTTATATGCAGCCCGTCCCGGCTATGTGATTTCCATCACTTATGATAAGAATGAAAAGAACTTGGGAAAACTACTGGATAAACCTGGAAGTTACGTCTCTCGACCATCTTGCACTGGTCCTGAGCAAAGGACGACAGATCATGTCACTCTAGACGGAGAAATATTTCGAACTAAACCGCAAAATAAATTCCTAATCCAAATCTTTATGGTAAAAGAAAAAATGGATTCTACTTGTTTCCTCATGATAATGTAAAGAAATCGATTTAAGCACAAATGCAGAAGCTCCACCGGCAGATCGAGTAGAGGTAACAAGTGAACAGTATGATTTATATTGTGAAATGGGCACAACGTTTGATCTGTGCAAGATATGTGATGGTAAATGTGGTCAGCTCCGCCTTGTTCTGCAAATAGGCAGAAATCTAAAAGAGGAAGAACTTGTCAGTCCTGTCGCACGAATTGAAAGGCACCAATAGCCCACAGATAGAGGCTGTTTTATAGATGAAATATACGGAATAGGCCACCATGGACGGCAACAACTGCGTCGTATTTGTGGCGAAAGAAATATATGAAAAAGATTTGTATGTATCATGCCAGTATAGCTCTTTTGCATCTCATCTCGCTGATTTATATGATAGCGCTTCATTCACATCTTCACCAAACCCTAGTGGTGAAATAAAGTGACATGAGGCGTTCAGCGTACGACATGTCTATCAAAGTTTCATATCGTATCGCAGTCTATCAGCAATTTATCAGCTCATGAAACGTAGAAGACCTAAATGGACCATAGTGTAACACCCAGCCAATGTTTCCCTACTATAATTTGCTGAATTTACAAAAGGTTACAACTTTTAGGTGTGCATTTCTATAGTGAGCAATTTTTTAAAAATTTCTAGGATACCTCTAATTGTGGGCAGAGTGATTGCATTCTTCTCCTGTTGTCTCTATCTTTCCGTAGAACTTTTGACAGAAGGAAGGCGCTATCTTATGATGTTCTGCTACTTCTTCCTCGGAATCGCGACCAGTGAGTCTCGTCATTTCAACCATCGATATGGGTTTATTTCTCATTTCCCTAGCAATGTAACGTATCAGATTGATACGAAAATAGTTGCAGTTTCGAACCGTGCCAAAACCGCGGTTACTTTGCCTAACTAACACCTTTCCACAGTCCACAAAATGTATATTGAACAACGAATATACGTCATTGCAACATAGCATCAAGGAAAATACGCATTGAAATCAACTATAACATAACCACATTTATTCAGGAATATGTTCCAACAATATCAAACAGCACATTTCAGCAATGCACAATTCGCAAAAACTTTTTCACCAGCGTACCATTAATGATATTGATTAGGTGAGAGTTGGTGTGCAAAACTTAAGCTTCGTTTATCTCGCAATCTTCAAACTTTTACTGGTGCTTTGCTAGTTTATATAAAGGGTACAACATGCACACGCCCTTGATATGATATCTATTTTTGCTCCTTTTGCCTGATAATTATTGCGTGGGGCACTGCGAAAAAAATGAAAAAAGATTTCTTGCAGAAAAGCAAAGATTTTTTACCTTCTGAAATGAGCTGGTAGTGGTTGAAAATGGTTGTTGCTTTATGTGACTACGGTGCACCGTAGTACAGGTTTGCTTTGTAGCTGCATTGCTTTCGCTATTTGAGCGAGTTCATCAGAAAGTACAATTCGCTATGCATTGCACTCTAGCCCTCAGTTCAGTTGGAACGACTCGTAGATGGGCTCTGCTCAGCGTGAGCCAACTATGAACTGCCAAATGCGCGAAAGTTAATGGTCATTTGCAATAGATCGCTAAAATCATAAAACTTCAGTTGATCCACACAAAACCCATAGTGACTACTATAAATATTCCACCGTCGCCTCATCTCAACCGATTAATCAAAAAAGTCTCTGAAAGCAACCGCTGAAACTGTGTCGTTTCGGTTCGAATAGCTATGGAGTGCACATGACTTGCAGAATTGTCGATGTATATTAGAATGTTTTTTTCTCATCTCAAATAGGTTCGTCGACGATACTTCGCTCTTACTTCGCCGCCGTAAGTACTGCACAAGACCGCACGAGAGCTTATTCGGCGTTCGTCATTGCGAATATGCTCCCTTTTCTTGTTGGACCAAGTAAGTCGTAGATGTACACAAGTACTATTTTATTGACGAAATTTTGAATACATCGTAAGCTAAAACTAAATAACTAAATAACTATACGCACTCAGAAATGCTTCTTATTAATCATGTCGAAGAATAAAGGATAAAGGATAAAGCTCTCGACGTTGATGAATCTTTGAGGGATGTGCCATATATTCGTCTTCAATTTTTGAGTTCGCTTGAGGTGATTGAATGTGTATTTGGCCTCTTACAATGAGTCCCGGTTGCCTCCCGCTGTACCGAGTCATTGCTGCTTATCTCTCCAGACAAGTCTGAGATCAGTCGGTTTCACTTTACCGACTCCGGAGGGATGCATGGCTTGGTGAGCCATGAGCGCAAGAGTGAACTATTAACCTCTTACGTGGCGCAAAGCACCTCTAGCCACTGCTCTACGTGCGCTCTTTGTCAAAGAAAATGTCCAGAAAGTAGCTAGAATGGATAAACTGTATTACCAGGTCTCCTCATAAGTTTTTACACTAAATCATGTTAAGAGTCCATCGATCCTTCCTTCATTTCTTGCCCTGCTGCGTTGAGAATTCTGCTAATTGTCGCATGACCATCATCGTGCTGATGATCACTATAGTCAAAATCGGCGGCCAACTCCTCGATAATCACAATCGGATCGTTCTTCAGTTGCTTCGATGACGGCCTCTTAATCAACTTCGAGTGGACGCCGGCAGCGCAGCTGGTCGTTCAAGTTGGTAATGCCGGCGTAAAACTCAGCAAAGAAGCAAAACACTGTTTGCCTGAACACAGTTACTCAAGCCTTTGCGCGGTTGATTTTCTCGAAAGCGATCTATGTATCACTCCCAAATTCGTACTCGTAAAACAGCAAATTGTGAAAAAGGCTCGTTGAGTGGTCATGACACGGCAAGTATGCACAAATTTGATATCAAAAGCTCAGAAAATTCTGCACAAAGCGGTATTGATTTCCCGCCTGAGAGATGGTCGAAATGTATTCAGGCTGCTGTCGCGTACGTTGAGTAACATTGTTAAGCAATTTTAATTACTTCTGCTTCATAAATTCAGTATTCACCGCTCTAAAGCCAAAACTTATGAGAAGACCTAATATTAGGTTAAGGGAAAAGTTCCTCAACTCCCGCTGAAAATTCTAAGCTTTATACATAGATTGGAAACAACAATAATTATTCTTCAACATAAAGACTCATTATCCACGATCTCTGCCAACGATTCGTAAGCTTTCGAATCTGCTCGAATTGTCATTCCTTGGACTTTGAATCAAAAACTTCTGACATGCCTCCTCTACTAGATCAAATGTCTCAAATCCCCGGCCCAAACCGAAAAGTTTTATTCAGCGGAAATTAGACCATAATCGGTCAACGCAGGATCTTTTGAATGAATATCATCAGTCTATTGAATAATCGCTGTTCAGGAGAGAGGTCCATTCAAGTATGCCTACCCTGACCACAGAAGATAATCGCCTTATCGTTAATTAAAAATGATATTAGTAAGGACGAAAAGAAGATTTTTTTTCAGAAATTATTTTATCTGACCGCGTATTGCAGTGTTTTAATCTTGCCATAAACCCAGTAATGTAGAGTGGTGTGCAAAAACGTCTGCGTCAGCCGGGATTCGAACTCAGATCTTACTCTTTCCGCAAGCATGTGCTAAGCCGTTACACCACCGACACTCGTTTTGCGCTCCACTCTTTCTACACTACAACGCTATCTGTCAACAGCCAACCGTCTGCGGTCTGGCGGAGCAGTTACTATCGACATTAATCCCCTTATGCTGACAGATATTGATAGATAAAATTTTTATCGCTCCCTATCTATTTATAGAAGTTCTATATGATTACACTTTGAGATGAATAACTCAAACCAATTAAATGTACCTTTCAAATTGATTGATATTCTTTTTTCTTTCAGTTTTTCAGCTCATTTTCTCGTTCGTACGATACCCTGGCTTTGTGCTGATCAAGGATTTTTTGAAGTTTCACATCTATTCGGCGCCGATTTGGATCGCCACACTTTACAAATTTCGTCTCAGTCGTTATTATCGGATATGGACTGAAGGACGTAATGTCGACGAAAACCACAAAGGGTTCCTTAGTGTTATATGTTTTTGGAAATCTAAATTTTCAACGCTCAACAATTGCTCTCTATCTAGAAATGAGTTCAGTGCTTTGATATTATGATTATCTATGTTCTGATTGAGTATCTTATGGAAACGATATTTTTTTGCACTAGACAACAAGCATGGTGACACTCTCACCTTTCCCTAAATGATGTGAGAATTTTTGATACGGAGCGCTGTTGATGTAATCTAAGGAGCGGGGTTAATGGACGGGTGATTAATAGTGCAACCGACTAGGAACGAAGTGGTAGTGCCTCTCTCAGGCATTCCTTTTTGATCAATCAGTCAGCGCTGTACGAAACACCTTAGCCGGTATTTCTCTGAACTTGCAAGGAGACCTGCTCGACTAGTCACTTATAAATAAGGCAAGATCTCGAGTAGCACTCGAAGAAGACTCGAAGTTTTCGGAGACCTTTGTGAAGGATGCATACAAGAAATAAAGTACTAGAGATACTGGGATCCGCACAGTAAAATGTGATGTCGCGTTGTCTAATGTATAAAGCGGTGTAATCGGTTTGCAGAGAATTTGGCTATCTCGAAAACAGCTTTCAATCCTAAAATACTCTGCCTCTAATGCTCATACATTTGGCAATCTTTTTCGTTGGAATGTCAGAATAAATGCGTACAGAAGCCAAGAAGCTTTCATCTCACGCAGCAGCTGTTTCGTGTAAATCGAAGTATGACTTTATTCATTAACTGACTTTTGGAAGAGTAATTTTTGATTTTTTTTGTGGGAAACTTCGTGGCAGAGTAACCAATTGTGTTCTTTAGTTTGCTTTGAGACTCATGAACACCACGAGTGATGAGAGCAGGTGATGATTGAAAAATGGAAAGCGAAATGCATAACGAAAATGTGGGAATGCAAAACTGATGAGGCCTTAGTAATTTTATGTACAAAGAGATATATATATATATGCATATATATATATACTGATTACATAAGAAGTTCGTGTAATTTTCATTGTTGATTTTAGCATTGATATGATTTTTTTATTGATGCTCATAATTCTATTGAATTCTCTGTTCAACACTGGTCTAAACTCTGCTTTGTTTATTTATTAGATTATGAGTGTTAATAAAGAATGAACTCTGCTTCATTTATTTCTCTATCTCCAGGTGTGTCAAAATATGAATCATAAAATAACATCTAGCAGTAGTTGAATTACAAAAAAAAAGTCGCACATAATTCCATTAATTTCATGGTAATTTCATTTCACTAGGGTGTCAAAGTCACCTTAAGCGCATCCATGCTAGTGTAGCGAGTAGCCGAGACTTTTTCCTCCACTATGGACGACACGTAGTAATCCATTAGGATAGGTAAAATCAAATTTGACGGCCAAATAGTCCTGCGCCAAAAGCTCAGAATTGCTTTTGACAGATGACAGTCGTTTAAACGGACCCGAATTTGCAAGAGCCCAGTCCTGCTGAAGCGTGAGTCCGTCGACATTGAGTTTTGAGTACTCTAAAGCTCCAGTACGCCCCGTAAAGCTTGCTGCTGATAACTGGCAGCGTTTCAGTCGATTATCACCTATGGCGCATTTCTGTTGGAGCAAATACCGCCTCAGATCATCGAAGAAGTCGAAAAATGACTGTGTCCTCTGGTTCTCGGCTACTGCAGACTTCTGCTAACCCTTTCTAAGAAGTTGACGCTGTTTATAGCGATTGTAAAGTGTTTCGACTTTGACACGTGCTAAAATGGATACGGTAGAAACGTGTGCGAGCATCTTGTACAGCTCCACTGCTGCAAAACGTTGATTTTTACAATCCATAGCTTGAGCACAACTGAAACAGAACCACAGAAAACACTCTGTGTTAGGTGAATGACATAGGCACCTGACATAGAGTGTAAAGCGTAGGTCGTCGATAACTATATATGAGGAGTGTGACGCTCCCAAGAGAACTGACTATGAAAAGATCGACAGACGACGGGTTTCTGCCCGGCTGATGAGTCTGTAAGGACGAAACACGTGTCCTCGGGCTGTACAAGAGCCTTTACCAGACCACATGACATGTTGGCTTAAATAATAATGAAAGGATCTATTGAAATTTGAGCGTGGTCCTTAATAAAGCACTCGAAGGAAAGGTATAATATGAAACAGAACAGTAATCAAAACAGATTCTAATCCAAAACTAAACAAAAATTCAATAAAATTGCCAGCCTAACTAAAAATTTCAGATCAGTGCCAGAATTAACGAGATAATAACTATACAGTATTTTTACTCACCCTAAATAAATAAATAAATAAATTTATATATATATATATATATATTGCTAACCAAATGTCTTTTTAAGACTTCGTATACCCTATCAAGTTAAGAGATTATTTACATAAATTAAAAGTAGTCTCCAATTCTAAGTGCCAGACATGCCTTGTTTAGAAACTGATGAATTGTTTAACTTGGTGAATATCAAAGCTCGAATCAAACATGTATTGTCAGTGGATCTCTATTTGTCTCTGATCGTGTTGTGCTGGTTGGAGAAAGCGCTAATTATTTCAATTCGATAACACTAAGCACGTAAGTCTGAGATTTTATGTTTGGAACAATCAGTGTATATTTTCTCTAACTGACATTCCTCCATGAAAATGATGAGAGCTTTTAATTGGCTAGATCTTTGGTATCTTATTCGCCTTCAGAACCAAGTATTCGCGTCGACAGTGCACAATACCCTCACGCGTCCCGAGTATGTGTTGTAGCGTCAAGTAAAATTTGACGGCGATACGTCAGTGGAACAGAAGTGGTTTTTTCAATCTTGTTCAAGCTTATTAAGAGAAAATATACATTGATTATATGTGTCGAAAATTATTGATAGTTCGGATTTTGAAGTCGTACAATTTTCTTAATTGGAGTGTTGTTTCCTGTATTTGTGATGATCGCGTATGGATGGGATGGTCAGAAGATGACGAAAGTTCTAACTAGTTGCACAGGTCTTGCTGGAGTATTCGCCATTATCGTGCTCCGCGGCGTTCATTATTTTTCGATTAAGAATGTACGAACATTTCATTCTCAGAGAAATTATGCTATTTCAGGACTTGCTTGATTTGAAGAAATTCATGATATTAACTTTCACTTTCTCGATACCTTATGGTCTGATATCATATAACGCTCAATGATTAAGATTTTAGTAAACGTAAAAGCCAACAAGTCCGTTTTTGAGATTTGCTTACAAATTCCGGAAAGCCGAGTGATCTTCAAAACGCGAAGTCTCAGATAGGAGTTGAACTCACGTTCACACTTTGTCAAGGACGTGTGCTAACCGCTAGACTACCTAGGCATTGTTTCACTACCTTTTCGACCGATATATAAGGTATCAAATCTCTCAGCAGCAAACCGTCCAACGGATTTTGGGGGAAGATTACCAGCAGTGCAAGGACCCTGGTAGCATAATGGCCAACACACGCGTCCATAGAAGATGAAACTCGTTTTCAACTTTCTTCTGAGGTTCCGAGTTATGCTTATCACTCAATGTACATCGACATTCAGTTACAAAACCATAGGACTTTTATGAAAGCTGCAAAATAGGATTTTATTCTACAAATTACCTGTATCATGAGAATACTGCTCTTCTCCTCTGAAGTTCTTTATAGGATTCCACTGCTTCAGGATCTCGCCGAGGTTCGTACTTTTGATAGCGATTTCCATGACTGTTGCCATATACGCTATCACGTACCCATATGAAATCATAAGTCACAAAATGGAACCTTATAACGGTAAGTGGGACGTTTTTTCCTGAAGTTTTTTCTGAAAATACTCTCATCGAAAAATGTCAGAAGCGGATCAGAATGGAAGTATCAACTTTGCAAGTCATCGATATCAAATTTGCATATAGTACTTTTTCTTTACAACCTACAAGGAATTTGGAAACATGAACTTGCTAAATCATTAAATATTCTGAAAAGAAACTTTAGTCTTATGCTTTTTGTGATGAGCAATGAGATCGGCTGTCGCGTAAAATCTCAGAACGCTGCTCAGAACCTTTGCTGTCGGCTAGACTGGCGTAACACCGTCCTCTTTCGGCGTTGTTGAACGAGTGAAGAGTTTGCCGATTCTTTTACTGTAGTCAAAGAGAGGGCCTCAATACCAGATTTTTGACGTATTTGCAAACGGACGCAGTCCTGCTTGCACTGCGAGTGGGCCTAGGACTTCGATCATTCCTTCGGTTAGCTGCCACTCAATGCATATTGGGAACAAGAAAGACAGAAAACAAAAAAAAAACTTTTTCCGGGGGCACCGTGGCCAAGTAGTTGTGACACTTCGCGCTCGCGCGAGGTCGAACCCCACCCTAACACTCTCCGGCAGTCACAACGAGCGTCCTAGAACGCCACAACCACACTTTCCTCGAATTCGCAAGAAGATGAAGTCTACCAGTATTAGGCGACGTTCAGAAGAAGACGAAAAACGATAGGATGTTAAGGGTAGTGAAATCCGCACATTGAGAAAAGCACTGTGAAAACGGATCAATAAAGTGTCAAAAGAGGGTTGTGCTTTTTCAACGGTCAATTTACGGTTTCTTAATAGAACAGTATCAGATGTCGAAGCGCTTTCACAACCCCT